CGGTGGGCACCTGTCATCTACCATGCTCTGCAAACTCATCTCAGTTTTCTGGTACGTCAGGAAAAAAAGAATATTAGCATCTACAAGTGACTAGAGGCAGAAAAATGTAAACAACCAGATGTTTCCTACTTTCCCTTCAACATTCTCTTGAGGGTTTTCAGAAACAGAAAACTTAAATCCCTGTGTTACAAGATGCTATTTGCACTATCAGCCTTGTGGATGAGTTTAGGTTCTCTATCATGAATGAGATGATATTGCAGGATTTCAGTTCTGTCATATTTGGAAGATACTTTCCAATTTACATCTGAAACTGGTATGGCGTATACAACAGTTTCAGGGGAAAACAGATAAATACAATATATTGTGACAGGACATGGGCTTAATCAGTGTAGATTTGCATATGTGAAGTGTTCAGTCTGAAAACATCAAAAGACATTTGTGTCTTGAAAAAAGGTTCATTAAAACATGACCTGGAACAATGATTTAAAAAAAACCCAAACAACCCAAAACCAAAAAACCCTGAATTAAACAAAAATGGCAAAATTGAGATGAGGCCCTAACATTTCCTTTCTGTGGGCTGCAGCTCAGGATACCTGCGCTGAGGGTCCAGCTTTGGCACATGCTTACTCCCTGTGTGTTTGACACGTTGAGAAGGTGGCTATGAATAGTTCTAGAGAGCTGTTTCCGTGGCCATGTTTTCAGCACTCAGTACCAAAATCTATCTGTTCATTCTGTCCTATATTCTCCATCCTTTGGACAATCCATCAGACTTACTTCAACAGTGTGGGTTTACAGACTATGACTTTGCAGAGCAACTGTAAGAACTTTCATATGGGTCTGATGCAAAGCTAGATGAAGTCAGTGAGAGTGTTTGCACTGACTTTAGGGAGCTTTAGATCAGCTCCTCTTTCAGTGATGCAGACTTCCACTTGATAATTTCATAGGCCTCCTTTAGTCATCTCAGTCAGCTTGTAATGACCGCCGTTGTTTCACACTTTCAAGGAATCATTCAACTGGCCAAAAATCTCTGCATATATAATGGTCAACTACTATTAATAATGGACTACAATTTATGTGTATGAGCCCTCTCTAACAGAGAGGTTCATTGAGGTTAATGTCTATGAAAAAGCCTTAAATCTGTATAAATTTGCAAAAGTCAAAAGTTGTATCATCAGAACTTACTTACACAGTGTGATGCATGTCATCACATTTACTTAGAGGAAAGATGGAGATCTCACTTGATTCAAAACAACAGCAGGTAGGATCAAATTGGATTATTATTCTGGAGAATTTATCTTCTCATGAGACCAGCTCTTTAATTCACAGGCAGAACAGGCTAGACTAAATAAATGAGCAGAGTCTACTGTAAACCCCAAAGGGGTGAAAGATGCTTCTCTGAAGCCAAGGAGGGCTGTAGGGTGGATCCATAGCTCAGGTCCCTATTGCAACTTAGAGCTACCACAAAACTGGAGCAGCTCTTTACAGTCTGTTTTTGCAGTTCACAGTAAAGAGGTCTGTTAGCCTGCACAGCAGAGTAATCTTAGCAGCCTGGTAGAAGCAGGGTCTTTTTCCATTTACCCCTTCCTTTCTTGCCCTCTCTCTTTATGCATGAAAAAACCTCAAGATAAATATGCCTGCTTCCCTTCATTGACTATGAAGGTAATAGAAATGATTCACTGAAATCTGAATGGGCAAAGCCTCAAATCACCCAGGTTTCTACTGGTAAAATTCCCCATATATAAAAAAAACAAAGATCTGCCCCAACATAATTTCTAAATTCTTTTTTCTAGGGATTGTAATTTGGTTCTCTATTTGTATAGTAGCTAACACAAGGCTGTATAATCCATGACTAGAACTGCTAAACTCAGCATAACTATTACTACAGCAAATAGTAAACCCCCTCTTTAATCAAAACCTAAAAGTATGACAGAACTCAAACTCTTTCAGAAACTAAAAATAACTCATTTTTATACTCAACTAAACCAGAAACATATATTAAGTCTGTTGGTTTGTTGGCCCAATATAACTTGTATTTAGATTGTGTCTGGAGAATCTCTCTTGTTACACTCAAGAGCCAAGTCTGTAGATTATCTATTTCTAATTTAAATGGCTTTTGCAATGTTGAATATTTTCCCTGCCTGCAAATCAAGATTCATAATCCCCAGTAGCTGCAGAGCCTGCCAAGATTAATGGCTTGTGCTGGTAGTAAGGTTTGCTTTCATGTCAAACATATGGTGCCCTTTTTCTCCTAGTCCTCAGAGAAAAAGCCTGTCCAAGGTCCACAGAGTCTGATTAGACTGTGTTCTTTCTCTCCTGTACACAGGCATGTGTGTGCTCACACATAAGCTCTCTCACTCACTCGCACACACACACGCATATATATGTGCATACACATGCATACATGCACACATCCACACACTAATCATAAAGGAGCATGGCCAGCTTATTTAAGGCAGGCATCTGTTAGTGATTGACTTGAATTTGTCATTTAGTGATTGATTGCATTTGCGTCACACCATCATTGATTGCTTGGCATGAATGAGGCTGCACTGAGGACAGTGCTAAGAAATCCAGACAACCCATTGGCAGTTCTGTGATGCTAACACACGTGGCTTAGGGAAAGCGTTGCAAGCAGGTCGAGGCAAGTGATCCTCCCCCTCTACTCAGCACTGGTGAGAAACATCTGGAGTGCTGTGTCCAGCGCTGGGCTCCCCAGGACAAAAGAGAGACATGCACATACTGGAGTGAGTCCAGCAAAGGGCCATGAAGATGATTAATGGATGGGAGCATCTGACATATGAGGAGAGGCTGAGAGAGCTGGGACTGCAGCCTGGGGAAGGGAAGGCTCAGGAGGATCTTACCCACCTGTATAAATACCTGATATGGGGTATAAAGAAGATGGAACCAGCTCTTCTCAGTGGTTTCCACTGACAGGACAAAAGGCAATTTGTACAACCTGAAATATATGAAAATTTGTTTAAACATAAGAAAACACTTTTTTTTACTGTAAGAGCAGTCAAACAGGGAAATAAGTTGCACAGAGAAGTTGTGGAGTCTCCAGCCTTGGAGCCACTCAAAATCCAACTGGACACAGCCCTGATCACCCTGCTTCAGCTGACCCTGCTCTGAGCTAGTGGTTGGACTAGATGACCTCCAGAGGTCTCTTCCCACCTCATCCATCCTGTGATTCTGTGACTTGCACAGGCAGTGAACTTATTGTTGATTTGGCACCTGTAGAAATGTTCCTTCCTTTTCAGGTAGTTTTCTTTTCACTCCACTTACAGCCTTTCCTCTTTGAAAAAAGATTGTGCAATATTACGTGAACAGGAAAGTGAGAATGGTTCCCAAGTGGATGGAAAGGTTATATGATTAGTGGTGTCTATCCCTTTTCCAGAGCCTTTCCACTTGTCTGAGTAACTCTAGCAAATCTTTTTGTGATATTAGAAGGACTTCTACTACTGAATTTGTGCAGCTAAATTTAGGTGTCCACAGCGTACATTTCTGCAGCTGAGAAAGTCATCCTGAAGATCCATTTGTAGCTAATGCTAGTCAGTAACAGCCAGTGAAATTTAGGTCATTCTGAAATTGATGACTTTATTCAAATGACCCCCACCCTAAAAATCCATTGGCTGTATTGATTAGATCTGTAATTACTGTAATAGAAGCCTGGAGCCTGGGAGCCGTTATACTCAGATGGAGATACTTACACCTTAAATTAGCTGAGATGAACGTCATCTTCAGAAGGATATCCTTTCTCATTAAGGATGAGTGTTTCTATTAGCTCTTTGTGGTGTTTATGTGAATGCAAGGTAGGAACTGCCTTCTATGCTTTGTATATGCAGCACAGCACACAATGGACATCTGATTTCAAAAGAATATCTAAATAATATCTTATTATGAACAATTTTAATAATTGGCATAAATAACAATATGTGTGTGGTTTTGTATTTTGTTGCTTTGGAAGAAGGGGGTGTCTGATCTCTGGTCTATTTTGACATCTTGTTGGTTTACAGTAAAGCATAATTAAAACAAAGAGTGTTTCTAAGACTTTCACCTGTAGTAAAAAAAAAAAAAAGAAAAAAAGTTGTTCTCAGTTATGGGTTCAATAATTATAACAGACTATTTTTTCATCCCTTTCCCTTCCCTTGATACCAAGTTTAACCAGATTTTCTTACATAGCATATATACAAACAATATTGACTAAGAAAGTAGACATGGAATAAACACAAACACTTTTAAAGCCTGCCTATATTTTTCATAGTGATGTTTACTACAAACACACAAACCTGTTTCATGGGGTGGTGAGTGCAAGAATACAATTTCTCTAACCTCAGAAGTCTATAGTGCTGATGTCTATCTTGGAGGTGCTATCTTGGTGCTGGTGTATGTCCTAAGAGGCTTCTCTTGTAGTAATTGGAGAGAAACATGCATTTTCATCAAAAATTGTCTCTTTATTTCCATTGACTGTCTACATTAAATAGTGTAAACATTTTATGATCTACACATGGTATGGTGAGTCCTTCTTATCAAGAGAAAATGTCTATTGGCTTCATTGTATGGAAAAACGGAAAACAGACCAATATTTCTTAGATATATTCTCTCCCACAAAGTGCATCAGTGTCACACTGGCTTCTGCATGTAGTTCACTTTGCAGGAAAATGTATTTTTAAAACTAAATGCACCATCCTCCAGGTATGGGAACTGCTGGCATTGAAAAGAACACAAAATCTACTCTTTTCCTTGCTACAGCAGGCTATATGCCATGTTTTCTTTATAAATTTGTTTTACCTATATTGTCAGCCTTGCTAATCCTTTCCACTTCCACAGTTACCTTAGACTGGAATCAGTGAAAATACACTTTTCTACAATCATGTCTACTTCATTGCTGACTATGTGTTTTGGGACCATCTTAAGTAGCCACCCTTCCATCAGTAACAACTTTACATCAGATGATCTCTGGAAATCCTGTGAATACTTACCAGTTATTCTTGCTTTTGCAGAGCCCGTGATCACCCTGTGAAGTGGAATGGATTCTCAAGGCATTTCACATTCAGGCCCTACGTCAATGTCTGCTTTACTGATCACGTCGTATTAAAACTGCTATGGCCAACAAACACTAATTGTATGAAAGAAAAGCTAAGTTTTATACTGTGTGTTAGTATAATTGTGAATAATTTTTCCTTTTTTTTTTCCCCCCCTTCATTGCAGACATGTTTTACCTTATGTTACAGATTTTAATTACGCCCCCTGTGTATCTGGGGAATGCTATTTCTTTGCCTCCAGATTTGGTATACAGTGTGTTGTAAGATACGTAGCTGTTAATTCATCTTTATTGTTTGTGTTTTTAACATGCTCTTGATCTCCAGTTCTGCTCATTGAAAACCATGAAATTCAACATGTTTTGTTTGATTCTTTTTTGTTGTCTTTTTTGTACATTTTAAAAATAATCTAGCTCAGATTCTCATACTGTGCACTGCTGCTTTAGAATTTGCTCTGCCAGATCTGAGCTAAGCAATTTCACAATTATATGTGCCATTTACAAACACATCAATTAGATGTTTATTTGATCCCATTGTGTGCATAGAACACCACATTTATTTATGAAAAACACTAGTGAAACAGCAGGACAAATAAACATCAAGGCATATTGTTACCATTTTTAAAAAAAAAAAAAGATCTTTAATCTGTTAAAAAGATCAAGCAAGGCGTCTCATGAAAAAAGTCACATTTTGCATTAGATTTCATTTCATAGGTTTCAATGCAACCAGCATTTGGGATTCTGTTCCATTTTCACCCACAATATTTTCTGCTGAAAATATGATTGAAAATGCCATTTAAATTCTTCTTTAAATGTGTCGTGTACTATAAATGCAGTTTTCCTCCAGTAAATAAAGCATTTAAAAAATGGTTTCAATTAAAATGTCATAGGAAGTATTGGAGAGAATTTAACAAAATTATTTGTTTTTTATTCTTCATGAAAAGTTACATTTTTTGACAACAATGTTTCTCGCCAGATAAAAAAAAAAAACCCACAGCTACCTTTATATGTTATGCATTTTTGGTTACTGTGAAGGTTTAGAAAAGAATAACAAACATTAAACTAGATTCTCACCTGCACTGATTTCAATTACATGCTTCCTTTCCAAAAAGCTGAGACACT